ATCAAAACCATGGGCTATAGTCCATGCTTTTTGCCCAAAAATGGTCCAAAATCACTTATTTTGCAACCTACATAAATAATGGATATTTTTTGAAAAGGTGTGAAAATGGTCCAAAATCCATCAAAACCATGGGCTATAGTCCATGCTTTTTGCCCCAAAATGGCCCAAAATCACTTAATTTGCATCCTTCATTAATAATGCATATTATTTCAAAAGGTGTGAAAATGGTCCAACGTCCATCAAAACCATGGGCTATAGTCCATGCTTTTTGCCCAAAAATGGCCCAAAATCACTTAATTTCCATGCTTTATAAATAATGCATATTTTTTCAAAAGGTGTGAAAATGGTCCAAAAATCCATGAAAAACATGAGCTATAGTCCATGATTTTTAACCGAATATGGCCGAAAATGACTTATTTTGCATCCTTCAAAAATTTCATTTTAAGAAGTTTAAATAGACAATAGATAATAGTTTTACACACTTATCATAAATAAATAAATAAGGGTACAGCAGGAATAGTGTTTAGGATATGTGCCCAATTAGCCGGCCCTCCCGACTTGGTTAAAAATTTTAAAATTTCGCTTCAATACACCGAATCAAAATATGGCTACCAATTTGAATTACAATTGTTCTGGACTATAGCCTCTCATATATGTGAAAACGCTTTTATGTATCCTCGTATCCTTGTCATTCGCTAGTCAGAGCAGAACAATAGCTATTCAAATTCAGTGACCTCCTCTTTTAACTTGTAAATATTTAATGCCCCTTCCCCCTAATAATTCTCCCGCCCCCTCCCCCTCCTAAAAAAATGAATGCTCTCGTAAAGGAACTAGCGATTCATTCTGGTGGGAAAGGACATGAAACGACTATTGACGTTTGTTCCATACAAATTATAGCGCTGAACTGGTGGTGTCGTGGAGAAGTGTGCGTGCAGGTGAGTGCCTCCACGCGTCATACATTGCCAACTGACTGCAAAGAAAAGCAATTCGCCGTCGTAAACAACTTGTAATTCTATTGAGTTTCAAACTTACCAGTTACAGCATGGAACCGAAGCTCACAGCGGGAACTTGTTACTCAAGAGGAAAAATATTACACAAAAAAAAAAAAAAAATTTGCACGAAAACTGTTTTCCTTAATATTTGCCTCAAACAGCGGGAACTTGTTACTCAAGAGGAAAAATATTACACAAATAATTTGCACGAAAACTGTTTTCCTTAATATTTGTCTCAAACGGTTGTTAGTGTGTGACGAAGCTTCAGGCACATTGATTTCTTAAACCCTTGGAATATTTGAATAGTTACAATCAAACAAAGACGATTAATTAAAAGGGCCAACTGTTCCGTGATGCCACAATAACTATAAAGTCATTTTACCTAGTGCTTTTGTAATATAAAAGTTAATATATTTAGAAAAAAGTCGAAGAAAACTAAAAGATGTGTAAAAAACATTATGAATAAGAGAAATGTCAGGATGGAAAAAAATTGTAAATCAAAAGTTATAAGTTCGTTAGTAAATTACGTAATTGCCCAAAAAAACTGGCTTATTTTACCTTTAGTCAAGCATTTGGTAACTTTTTTATCCTTGTATATCATTTTTAAGCACTCTTTTGGTCAATCATTGGTTAAGTGTTCCTAAAGCTAAGAATATAAAACTGCATTAAGCTCCTCGTATATTAGGGGAGGTGTACTAGGGGACAATAAGTGCGTTGGAGTTTCTGGACCTGCAGACTGAAAGGGCATTGAAACCACCGTTGGCCGCGTAGTGGTGAGAGCGCTCGCATCTCACTGAATAAGTATTGGCGTCGTACCTGAGTAGAGTTGCTTATTGGTTTTCTCCCGTGCTTCTAGGATTTTCTCCGGTTTTTATTCCTTCCAATAAAATCAACTTCTAAATTCCAATTGTAATCCAGTGGCAGAAGAGCCACCCTGTGGAATCCCTGTTGATTCTCATTCATCATTTTATTTTGTTAAGAAATAAACCGACCTCCGTTCCAATACCACTGAAGGAATTCCACTAATCAAGTGTAAAAGAGTTTTTCAATTTTATTACCTCTTTTAAATTGCAARTCAAGTTTTAATAAAGTTATTATTATAAGACTACTACATTTGGTATCTAAAATTTCGTATCTACGCTCACACAGGATTAATGTTCCTATATTTTTGAGATGGCAAAGACTATAAGCAAACCTTCATAAAAATGCATCCAAAATTGTAATTCTTAAGTAGGTGTATATGATTGTGTACAACTAATCCACTAATCCACTGAAAGCTCAAAAGCTATTCATCAAAGCTGGTAGTATGACGGTGCCAAACATGCCGACAGACTAACACCAGTTATTCGGACAAGCGGAAGATGGATATTGATTATAGTCAATAGCGAGGACTTTAAATTTTGTCAATAGCTATGGCCACGCGTTTTTCGTAGATATAATTCAATAGATTTCGCAATTTTAGGTGACAGTGGAACACGTTGGATATCTCTTGGGATAGTCGGTTGCTCACTTACAAATAAGTCATTCATAATAGCGTTTTCAATGATACGTGTCTTGGATGGACAGGTATTTGAACAGAAAAATAGATTTGGTACCACGTTGAACCAACTAAAAAATGGGTTTATTTATAATCATAAAGGACAATTCACTTGTGGATACGGTATTTTCAATCGTAGAAGTTTTTTAGGGAAGCAAATAAGCAAAACAAGAACAAAAATAAAAACAAAACTTTCAAAACAAAAATAAATAAAAAATTGAAATTCTTTTCCGCCATAATAAACAGTAAAAAATCGCAAAAAGTAGGTGTTTATCAACCAACATTTTCTATCTACACATGGACAACCTTTTATCAACCCCCGAAAAGAGCGGGAAATTTTATTATATGGTAGACGTGCGTGTGTGCAAGGTACGAAAAGAGCGGGAAACGTTAAATACACACACATATTTATACAAAAAAGAAAAAAAAAGAAGAAAAACAAACAAACAAACAAACAAAAACGGCGACAAAACGAAAGTAAAGATAAAATTTAAATGTTAAAATGAAAATAGAATAGATAGGGATTTAACCCTTATTGCCTTTTTTCCAACTAATGTGATTTTGCATTACTAATAGGCCCTTTGCAGCTAGTGGTCACGTGCTTGGATACCGCTTAGCAACACAAAACTGGAGAGCAAGCCTTCCAGTAAACAAAAGTTGTAATAGGTCAAGCACGCGTGGTTTTATACGATAGTTTCATCGTTCAAAACGCTTAATCCTTTTGCCCTATCTACAAACACAGTAAGATAATC